GAGTTTTAGCCCACTCAGCCTGGAGGAAGTTGACAGACTGCTCATATCTGTGCATCCAACCACATGATGCAACCTTGATCCATGCCCCTCCTGGCTCGTTAAAGTGGGTCGCGAAGGGTTTCGAGGTGCCCTGAGGGAGATTGTCAACAAGTCCCTCTTGGAGGGATGGTTCCCTAGGGCACTCAAGGTAGCAATGGTCCGCCCTCTGTTGAAAAAACCATCTCTGGACTCAGCCGAATTGGCCAACTATCGGCCGGTGTCCAATTTGCCCTATTTGGGCAAACTTATTATTTTTTTTTGGTTATTCCTATTTGGGCAAACTTATTGAGAAAGGCGGTGGCAACACAGCTACAGGGCTTTCTGGATGACGCTTCTGTCCTTGATCCCTTCCAGTCCAGCTTTCGCCCGGTTATGGGACGGAGACAGTACTGGTCGCTCTGACTGACAACCTCTGTAGGCATCTGGATCGTGGTGGTGTGGTGGCATTGTTGTTATTAGATCTGTCGGCCACGTTCAATACGGTCGACCACCAGTTGCTAGCCCACCGCCTCGCCGGCGTGGGGATTCAGGGGCTTGCCCTTCAATGGTTTGCCTCTTTTCTCCAAGGTCGGGGACAAAGGGTGGGGATAGGGGATCAGCGGTCCTGGAGGTGGCCTCTTGAATGTGGGGTGCCTCAGGGGGGCGGTGCTGTCCCCAATGTTGTTTAACATCTACATGCGCCCCCTTGCCCAGATTGCCCGGAGTTGTGGGCTTGGGTGCTATCAATATGCAGATGACACCCAGCCCTATCTGATGCTGGGCGGTCGGTCGGACTCCGCCCCGGATGACATTCATCGGGCGTTACAGGCTGCGGCTGGTTGGCTCAGACTGAGTTGGCTGAAACTAAACCCGGCAAAGACGGAGGTCCTGGGCCTGAGTCGGATCGGTTTGGGGTTGGGGCTCCCTCTCCTGACCTTCGATGGGGCTCCTTTGGCGCCATCGTCGGAGGTTAGGAGTTTGGGTGTGCTCCTGGACTCCTCCTTAATGATGGAGGCACAGGTGGCAGCCACTGCCAAGTCGGCCTTTTACCATCTTCGGCTGGCGCGGCAGTTGGTTCCTTTCCTCGACCGAGATGACCTGGCTACAGTGATCCAGGTGACGGTCACCTCGAGGCTAGACTACTGTAACGCTCTCTACATGGGGCTGCCTCTGTCACAAATTTGGAAGCTGCAGCTAGTGCAGAATGCTGCAGTAAGGCTGTTGATGGGTCTCACTAGAAGGGAACACATCCAGCCTGTGCTGAAAGCGCTGCACTGGCTGCCAATGGCGTACCGGATTCGCTTCAAAGTGCTGATTCTTTAAAGCCCTGCATGGCCAGGGTCCGGCTTACCTAAGGGACCGCCTTTCCCCACATGTTCCCCCAAGGGCACTACGGTCGGGGAATCAAGATGATCTGGATATTCCAGGCCCCAGAAACATCAAATTCACTGTCACCAGGGCCAGGGCATTTTCGGTGGCGGCTCCTACCTAGTGGAATGAGCTCCCAGAGGAGATCTGGGCCCTGCGGGACCTGGTGCAGTTCTGCAGGGCCTATAAACGGAGCTCTTCCACCAGGCTTTTGAGTAGGAGCTGCCACCACCACTATTCCATCACCGCCCCTCATCTCCGCACTTTGACCATCGGTGGAGTGGGTATTATTGGAGGTGTGAGACGTTGCTTGGCAGATGACAGTGTAGTTGGGATGCACATTGTTGGTTTGTTGTTCTTGTATAAAACCTCCAGAACCCCATCTTGATTCTGGAGCACCAACATTTTTTAGTGTATTATGCATATTGTATTTTATATTGTTTTATATTGTTCATTGTTTTAACCAGGCATTTATGCCCCTTGTGAGCCGCCTTGAGCCTTCGGGGAGGGCGGGATATAAATGTAAAGATAAATAAATAAATAACTTACGAGGAAACCCTTTGAGCCACTCGCAACTTGCGAACTGAAATTCCTGTCTTGGAAGATGGCCTTTCTGGTGGCCATCACCTCTGCAAGGCGAGTTGGAGAAATACTGGCTTTCCGGCATGACACGCCATACTTGTCATTCTTGCCAGACGGCGTCCACCTTGTCCCTGACATTTTGTTCCTGCCAAAGGTAGTGTCAGAGTTCCATCTACAGGCAGAGGTCTTCCTCCCGGATTTCTTCCCAGCTCCAAAATCCCCAGAGGACAGACTGTTACATACCTTGGGTGTCAAAAGGGCACTCCTGTTCTACCTCAACAGAACCCGCCCAACAAGACGTGACTCCCAACTGTTCGTCTCATACGCACCAGCAAGACTGGGGACTCGCATCACGGCTCAATGCCTCTCAAAGTGGATTGCGGGTCTCATCCACCTCTCCTACTTGATTGCAAAGCAGCCGTTGCCTGGCCCCATCAAGACCCATTCAACCTGGGCTGTTGTGGCTTCCACTGCCTTCCTACAGGGAGTACCCCTGACGGACATCTGCAAGGCTGCTACCTGGGCTACACCTAACACCTTTATGAGGCACTACACCCTAGATGTCTGTAAGAACCAACTTGGGACATCACATTCTATCTTCAGCGACGCAGTAAGGACCTGCCAGCACCCTCCTCCAGGTAGGCCACTGCTCACTAATCTCCCATAGGTGTGAAGCACAGAGACCACATCGAAGATAAACAGGTTGCTTACCTGTAACTGATGATCTTCGGGTGGTCATCTGTGCATTCACACCACCCGCCCTCCTTCCCGCTGCTGTCAGCTTCTACATTTTCCATAGGGGTTGATTTGCGGCAGTTCAAAGGAACTGGCGGGATGTCCGCGCCCACCCCTCTGGGCATGCGTGGTGGGGTTCCTGCGCATGCCCGAGGGACTGGGTGCGAAAATCCGTTAAAGCTTGCTACAATGCCGATCAATCCAGCACGTGCGCACGAGATCCCATGGGTGTGAATGCACAAATGACCACTCGAAGATCATCAGTTACAGGTAAGCAACCTGTTTTTCTGCATTTAGGTAGGAAAAATCAATTGCATAGTTATAGGATGGGGGAGACTTGTCTTGGCGGTAGTATGTGCGAAAAGGATCTAGGAGTCTTAGTAGACCATACACTGAACGTGAGTTGTTAGTGTGATGCTGTAGCTAAAAAGGCAAATGCAATTTTGGGCTGTATCAACAGAAGTATAATGTCCAGACTATGCAAAGTGATTTATTCTGCTGTGGTTAGACCTCATCTAGAGTATTGTGTTCAGTTTTGGGCACCACAATTTAAGAAGGATATAGACAAGTTGGAACATGTCCAGAGGAGGGCAACGAAGATAGTGAGGGGTCTGGAGACCAAGTCCTATGAGGAAAGGTTGAAGAAGGAGTTGGATATGTTTAGCCTGGAGAGTAGATGACAGAGGTGATAATGATAATCATCTTCAAGTATTTGAAGAGCTGTCAATACAGAGGATGGTGCAGAGTTGTTTTCTGTTGCCCCAGAAGGTCGGACCAGAACCAGCGGGTTGAAATTAAATCAGAAGAGTTTTCGGATAAACATTAGGAAGAACTTCCTGACAAAGCGGTTCCTCAGTGGAACAGGCTTCCTCAGGAGGTGGTGGGATCTCCTTTGGAGGTTTTCAAACAGAGGCTAGATGGCCATCTGACAGCCATGCTGGTTCTGTGCATTTAGGCAGATCATGAGAGCAGGAAGCATTACATCAGTGCTTGATTCTTGTAGCCCTTTCTTATACACCCAGGGAAATGCTGATTGCCACTTTGGGGGTCAAGCAGCAATTTTTCTCAAGGCCAGTTTGGCCAGGGATCCTGGAGGTTTTTTGCCATCTCCGGGGCATGGAGCAGGGGTCACTAGCAGTGTTCCCTCTAAGCTGAGTTACTGTGAGCTAGCTCAGTTTTTTAGCCTCCAGCTCACACATTTTTGTCTTGGCTCAGGAAGGATGGCTCCAGAGCAAACTAAGGCTGCAGTCACACACACTAAGTAACACATTTTCAATCCACTTTCAATGCACTTTCCAACTGGATTTTGCCAGTTCACACAGTAAAATCCAGTTGGAAAGTGCATTGAAAGTGGATTAAAAGTACATTATTTAGTGTGTGTGTGATTGCAGCCTAATTTATGCCGTAGCCAAATTGCTCACTCACAACTTTAATGCGCATTATAGTAGCTGCGGTGGCTCTAGTGGTTAAGACGCTGAACTGCAGGGCTGTGGAAGGTCAGTAGTTCAGCAGTTCGAGACCTGGGTGCCGCATGATGGAGTGAGCTCCCATCTCTAGTTCCAGCTCCTGCCAACCTAGCAGTTCGAAAGCAAGAAATTGCAAGTAGATAAATAGGTACCACTTCGGTGGGAAGGTAACAGCGTTCCGTGCGGCTTGGTGTTTAGTCATGCCGGCCACATGACCACGGAAACGTCTTTGGACAGCACTGGCTCTTCGGCTTTGAAACGGAGATGAGCACCACAACCCTAGAGTCGGATTCGACTGGCTTTTGAGCAAGGGAACCTTTACCTTTACCTTTATAGTAGCTCACAAAAGTAGAATTTTTGCTCACAAGACTCCACAGCTTAGAGGGAGTACTGGTCACTAGGGGTGTGTGTGAGGGGGGAGGTAGTTGTGAATTTCCTGCATTGTGCAGGGGGCTGAACTAGATGACCCTGGAGGTCCCTTCCATCTATGATTCCTGCTCTTAAATGAGCAGCTGTAACCATGAGCTTGATAGCCTAGTATGATCTCACTTTAAAAAAAATTCTTTATTCGCCTACTCCAAAACCCTGTTCTAGTCTGTGTCTTATATTCCTTTGATTCCCGCTTCTCCCCATGCCTCCCCTAGAAGGCATGTTGCTGCCTCTGTGGAACCCCTGACAAACCCTGCTCTGCAGGACCAAGGGCTTTGTATTGTTACTAGTGTGGGACTGAGTCTGCCCACAGAGGCAGAAAGGCACAGCCAGCTCTGACTCGCTTCACCAGCAAAAGTCAGCAGTGCACATTAGTAGTACAAGGGGACTCTCCTGCCTTGAAGTCAGGTTTTCCCTTTTTATTTGGGAATGAAAAATTCGGACTATTACGGAAAATGACATTGCAGGGAGTTACATTCAGTAAGCAAAAACTTCATCTGGGAGACAAATCTGTTCGATATCAAATGATCAAGAATACAGGTCAGAAGCGCTTAAAGAAAAACCATCAGATAACCAGTCCAAATTATATGTCAAGCCGACAATCAAACCATTAAATTCCAACTTGATTCATGTTCGTTTAAACAAAAACAAAAATAGTTTGGTAACTGGTTTTTAACAGATTCAAATACATTATGTTCAGAGTTTCACAACTGCAATATAATACCTATAAGAAGTACATAGTTAACTTGTATTTTTAAACGTGCAATTTGCATACCCCATCTTCCAGAGTGGGTTCATTGATTTGACAACAGGTTGAACAAAATGCATTTAAATCCCCAACTATTTTCATCGTGACTTAGAGCAAAAAAGACAGTCTCGGGTAGTCCACTTTATCCCTCTCCAAGTAGTGAAAACCAAGAAGTATAAATTCCATTATAGAAAACTACTGTGTTTGCATGTAGAATCGTGTATTTAATGGCAACAAAGCTAGATACTCAGAAGTTAGTCTCACTTCAATGGAGCTTACTTTTAAGTAAGTACACCTAGGGTTGTAGCTTAAAGTGACCAAAGGCTTTACATTCCTAGACCAAATGTGTAGAGGTGCCAGGGACAGGCAGGGAAGGATATAGATGAATAGAAAGCAGAAAAATCTGGACCAAACAGAACTCTGGCAAAGCACATTTGTGCTTGTTTACTAAAATGAGAATCCAAGTATACTTACTTGGAAAGATCTAGAAATTTCATAGCAGCTGCTAACCTAGTTAAGTTGCACTTTGGGGTCAGAATGAGAACATCCAATCCCAGAAGCCTTTCCCTCCCACTCTGCTGCTCTCTTCTTGCTCAGTGGAAATATTTTCCCCTTCCCTGCCTCTGCAAGTCCTAATCTGCAACAGCCTGAGATGGCAGAATGGGCTGTACCACTTCAGCCATGCTGAATGCTTCCAGATGAGAACTCATGCAGGAGTCGAGGAGCACCTTAAAGGCTGAATTTAGTTAAGTCTTCAAAGCTCCTCTGTAATTTTGCTGGAACAGACTGAGGTGGCTGCCACCACTTTGAAGTTAACACCAGGAAGAGGTTCTACCCTACACTCTAGCAGGCTGTGCGAAGTTTGTAATTTACCAGGAATCAGTCATTTAGTGGAATTTTGGGAAATAAACCTGTTTGCTGTAGTCTGAAGTCTGTTCTTCCACCTGCAAGGTGTTGTACACGGAAGGGGCAATAGAATGGGGGTGGTGGTGGTGTATGTTTCTGCTTACTGCTACTCCTGCTTACTGAACCATCTGAACTGAACTAATTTTTAGTCTTCATTTGGGTTTAAGATACTCTTGGTTTGTGAATCGGTACATCTCCTTGCATTCAAGGATATCCTACTGTAGAAAGCCAGACACAGACTCCTACCATTAGGAACCGAAATGGATATTTTAACTCTTAAATATGCACTCTGCAGGGCTGACAATGTAAACAAAAGTATTGCACGTGTATCCACACAGCACTTGAAGCCCGAGAAAGGTATCTATAAAATGCAACCTTCTTTCGGCAGGAAGGAAAAATGAAACGTTCCTAGAGTGCATCCTACCCCTCTCAGCTCCTCTCCTATCCACCTGCGGGGTATATTGCTAATACTTCAACGTAATACTTTGCTCTCCCTGTCACATCTTTTACTTGGGAATTTACAAGCATTATGACCCACTTCATTATGCGAAACAACGTGAGTTCTCCTAGGATGGCCTCTGCCACTTCAGTGGTGGAAACAGACCTAAAGTTTGGGAACTTCATGATTACTTACTCTAACTGCCATCTGTATTCTTCCTCTGTCAAGCTATTCAGTTCAACTGCCACACTGCCGTGCCTTTTGACACTGGTGATTGGATTCATCACTGCTCCGTGTAGAAGTTACCCAGTAAAGCTGGGTAATCCGGAAGAACTGCTGCTGCGTGAGGCATTTGCTCCTTCACCCTGAAATCGCTCCAACATGCCCCCAGGTTCTGGTTGAGGCATGGTTTAAGACTGGAATACAAAACAGCAGGTCTTGTGAACCCTTGAGGGGGAAAAGGAGCAGGCGATCCACAGCTGCTGCCCTCCTAGGTCTGAAGTTATACGATGTTCGTGCCGAAGTCCCCTGGTGGCTGACAGGAAATGCAAGAGACACTTTCCTCGGCCAAGCTGTTCAGAGCTTTGAGCACAACGTCTGGCATATGATCCGTTATCATTTTCGGACTTATTAAAATGTTGCCAAAGGCAGTTTCTTTGGACCAGCTTGCGCTGTACTTGACATCTGAGGTGCACCATCTGGAAGGGGGAAAAACCGAACATGCATGAAGCTGCCTTACACTGATGGTCCATCCAAGTCAGTATTGTCAAGCTCAGACTGGCCAGCAGCTCTCCAAGCAGAGGTTTTTCACATCACCTACTGCCAGATCCCTTTTTTAATGGGAGATGCCAGGGATTGAACTAGGGATCCTCTGCATGCCGAGTGGATGCTCTACCACTGAGCCACAGGCCCTCCCCAGACTTTATTTATTTTATCTCCATTCTAGGTACTTTATTATGCCTCTGAAAACACCCCTGTCTACAGCATGCAGGGACAAGTCCTTACTTCTCCCCTCTGGCTAGTCTGCAGATGTTCTTGGAAAAAGGAAGAAAGAGAGACCCTATAGATCCAAAAACTGTAATCTGCCTGTACTGTGCTGCTTCTGTTGTTAACTAGCAATTAGGAGGTTGCGCCAGACAGAGGCAAGTGCTAGCCTACCTAGGGGGTGGGGCCCACAGCGTGCCTGCTTGCTTCTCCATCACTGGAGCAAGGGGTCCTTTTAAAAGAGGAAGGAGGCATCACCTTTTCAATCCAATAAGCTTCAGAGTATATACTTTAAAAAGAGAGGCAAATCCCAGGCAAGGTCCTTGGTCTAAGAAGCAGCTGAAGAATGTAGGAGGTGTTTCTCTGAAAGACTCCTCTACCAATACCAGTCTTCTTTTGCCAGAGGTGCAGAAAGGTTAGCTTAATGCTGGGGAACCTTCACTTCATACAGATCCTACAGCTACACCCTAAACACCCACCCTGGTTACGTGTTACAATTCAAAATGTGGAAAAGCTGCCTTGCAGGGAGGAAACCTAAGCACCCATCACAGTTCTATTCTCCAAGTGGCAAGACAGCAGAAGATAGTTTCCAGAAATCATTCATATTGCCTGGTTCTGTAAAGCTTTTTGTCTAAAAAAATATATCTAATAATGATAAACTGAGGAAAAGATCTTCTCTTGGTACAATCAGTCTGTGACAAGCCCCATAGAGAGGGGCGACAGAATATCTCCCCTATCAGCAGTTCTGTTTTTAGATTTCCTTTGCTGCTTTAACCCAAAGAAGCCAAGCAGCACCTCTTGCTACTCAGTCAGAAGCTAGAAAGACTGGGCTTGTTAAAATTTGCACAAACTAATATTAAGGCAGGGAAACTAAGAAGTGGGCTAGCTGCCCTCAGCAAGATATTTGGCTAATATGACCACTGAACACTGGTGGTCACTAGACAGGACCAGTTACAAATTATATTGGCACTGTACGAAAGAAGAGTCCAGACAGACTGTGAGCCACGCCAGGCATGTGCTGCTGTAGGAGGAAGCCTGTTCAAACTAGCTGAATATTCAAAATGAAAGCAGCAAACCCCTTGTGCCCTGGTCAGATCTAGCAGCCCAATTTCTGGGCCTGCACCAAACAGGCCAACAGAAGAGGAAACCAATTAAAACAGACCGAGGAACTACAGAGAATTAGTCCTGTCATGCCTGCAGGGAGCTGTAAGTTGCAAGTTTTCTGTACGCTCAGAACTAGAAATCTGGACCGCTTCATTTTGGGATAAGCCAGAAACGCTCATCTGTAGGACTCTGCAGCTAAGAGGCCCACATAGCTGCTGTGCACAGGTGACCATCCAGTACGAAAGAGATGCTGGGCGCATGCAGAGCCCACAGAAGGAATGCTTTTTGCCTGCCTCCCGTTTAAATCAGGACTCCAATATCAGAAAGTGACAGGATGGTGGTTTTAAACGGCCAGGACTTGTTCATGTAATACCGCACCCATCCCTCTCACTCCACTGCTTCTCTGGCTTTCACTGCACCAGCTGATGTGCAGCACATCTGTTCCCTCTGGAGATCTGGAAGAAGGATGGGGGGGGGAGAGAAAGGAGCACACTGGCTCTATCCCCACTTACCTCCTTGTGCTGTTTTCTTCTGTGATGTGGATGATTCTGCCTGGAAGGAACAAGGGAGGATACCGAAGCGGAGAATTCAAAGGCGACTCGTCCCCTGCTGGAGAAGTGTATGAAGGAGACTGATGAATCATGAGGCTCTCTTCGGCTAGGAGCGGCTGGCTCAGAGCATCCTGGCTTCTACCGTCCAGTTCAGTGGGGAAGTTATCGGGGTCTCCTCCAAATACTTCGTACCAGCAGCCGTGCAGCAGGATCTGGTACTGGATAAGGGGGGGACGGGGGACAACAGAAGGAGCACATGAGAAATGAGAGAGTTGTTTTTGCAAGGGGGATCGTACTGATTTGGGCACACACAACTTGGAAGTCCATCGACACCCACGTTCATTATGTGCTTTTCCAAAACAGAATGTGTGTGCGCTTCTTGAGTCTGCGTGACCACCCCAACCCTCACCTCACACACAATGACAATCAGATCCAAAGAAGAAACCTTTGAAACATGTCAGTTTTGATACAAGAGTTCCATTGCAAAGCTAGTGGTATAGATGCACAGAAGGATGCTGAGGCTTATACTAGCCCAAGGGGCTGATCTCCCCTCCCCCCCACAGACACACACTATCAAACTGTATTTGAAACTACATTGCCAAAAGTAGTGTACCAGCTAAGAAAAAGGGGATTTACTAAAGCCTGCAGAGGGCACAGAGCTAGTTTCACAGTTCGTTACATCCTCGTACACAGCACCAGACACAACTCAAGGAAAGCTCTCTGCAGGTTCACTTGCACCAGGACAAACGGCCCCCACTTCCAACCCATCTCTGCCCAACTAAATTGTATATCCATTCATGGGTTTTTTTTTTACCTTGGGCCTATTGCAGTTGGCAACTATTCTGACGATCCTTCTCTTCAGGTCTTCCATATTGGGCATACTTAGCCTGTTTGATACACAGGAATTGGGGGGGGGGGGTAGAAAAGGACAGACGTCTTTAGAGGGTGGCTCTCACCAAGATCACTGTCTTCAAATAAAGCCTCACAGTTAAGAATCCTCACCTTGGGACAACGTCCTTTCCGACAATGACCGACACGATGAATTGTTTAGTGTAGTCTGCCAGTGATTTACTTTAAAATGGAGAAAAGGGGGGGGGGTACAACAGGTTAAGCTGGCAGTAGGTTGAGTCCCCAGCACAGAATTACATCATCAGGGTCCTTCATAGCATGTTCCAACCACCCTTGCTCCATACCGATGTTCCAACCAATTTTTAAAATGAGAATGGTTGAGTGAAACGGCTGGCTCGATTCAATCTCTCCCCTTCACTCCAGCCCTCTTCTCCCACATGGCTTTTGTCCATGCAGGTCCCATGACACCCGGCACGGCCTTGTTTGTGGTCAGATGGGAATCCCCCCCCCCTTTTCACCAGTACAAAAGCTGCCTGGAATCCAACCTGTGGGTGTGTTGCACTAGTTCGAAAAATCAGTCCCACCAAATGGGCCCATGAAAAAGTCTACAGGGAAGACCTACGACGAGAACCAAAGCTGCTTCAGTTCACGCCAGTTCCTTCTAAACGTGACGACTGTTACCACTCCCCCCCCCCCCACACACACAAATTCATCGCACCTAATTCATCTCACACTTCTTCGTGGACTTTTACACATCTTTCTCTTACTTTTTAATACATCTTGCAGGTTGTCTCTTACCTCAATAAACCCCCTGGTGGAGAAAAGGCGTAACATCTTAGTGTTGGGAAAGCGTTTCTGAGCATAACGGCCAATATGGAGGCCGTTCCTCCTCCTAAGCTGTGGCCAACGACAACCAGTTTATATTCCTAGAAGCAAAAAGCAACAGTGTTAGAAAGACGGAGGTGCCGTGGCTCAGTGGTGGAACACGTGCGTTGCACCTGGCATAGGGGTGCCCAGGCTCAATCCCCAGCCTCTTCCTGGCAGATACCCGGTCCTCCTTGGCCAATGCCGGGGCCTTCACTGCCTGAGTGCCAGGAGAGCCTGTGCCAACCAGAGGGAAAGCCGCTCTGTTACGACGCTGCGCTGTAACGCACCAGGAAAAGGGAAGTGCGAATATGGTAGCCGTGACTCACGGGAGCAATGGTGAAGGCTTGATTCAAAATCCCGTCGTTTATTAGTCTTCTGTAGATGTAGTTGGCTGCCTGGGTTATCCCCTAGGAGACAGGGATGGCAAGTTGATGGAAACAGCAGGCAGCACCACTGGGAAGCCGCCCATGTTGGCAGGACAAATGATGACGCTCTGTCAGCGGCGATTTCAGGAGGGGTCACCACTCACCGCCCCGCCTCCACCCCTTGCTCCACCCTCCCAAAGTTGCCACAACAATTCTCCTCCTTCTGGCACCCACTCACCCACCTCCTACATTACTTCATTGTCTAATGGATCCATCTGATCCCTGAACAAGCCTCTTCCAAATAGGGACCGAAGTTCAGAAAGGCAAATGCCATTTGCAACAACTAGAGCAACTGAAACACAAGGCAAGCATTCGCAAGCGCAGGACTGCAGCTCCCTGCTGGCTCTTCTTCAGCAAGGGGAGAGAGAAAGAGAGGCAGGGGGAAAAAGGCTAGCTAGGAAACTGGCTCCATGAGCAACACTCACACAGAACACATGCATTCTGGCTTTACTGGGTTCACAAAAAGAAATATCCCCAGAAATACTTGCCGACCTTGTGTACAAGACCGTTTTCCAGAATATCTTCTAGAGTTATGGTTTCGCAATCTGCTGAGAGATCCGTGAGGATATCCTGAATGGAAAGAAAGGAAGCACAGACCAAGTATTTCCAATGCTTGCTGGATCTCTCTGTGATCAAGTGTCGGAGTCATACAGAGAGGACGGCAGCAGCCCACAGAAAGTCCTCACAGCAGACCTCTTGCGAACAGTGTGTCTTCAGACATTTGCATGTTGTTATCAGAAGCTGCAGGGGGCTCTTTTCGCATTGGATGGTGCCGAACTTCACAGGAGTGTAATAAAAAGGTGGCTTCTGACAAAATATGTATAAATACAAATTGCCTGAACTTGGTTTCTACCCACTGAAAATGCTGCCAATACGTATGGAAATAAAGTATGTTATGCAGGGCAGTGTATACACACATGCCATGAATTTCATGTACACAGCTGCTTAAAGCAATGTTGTTCTTGTACAGGTGTCCCGTTGCCTTGCCACACAGAGGCTGACCCCGAAGCCCCACCTCAATTTCCCACCCTACCCCTCTCACACCACTCATGCTGCTGACTAAACACTTCAGAATGAGCTACCTTTGACCTATCACCAGCAAACACACACATCAAGCTGTTTGCAAAAAAAATACTACCTCAAAGGACAGAGTTCCTCTCACGGCAACCACGATGGCCTCTTTCTTGTGATCCAGCGCAACAAAGAACGGGATCTCAAAGATCTGAAATGCAAGGAAGGATGTGTGAAAAAGCGAGACTCCACTTGCTGGGCTAGGCGGCTTAGCTTCGCGCAGCACCAGAGGCCTCCAGAAGGGCTTGTAAAACAAATCATGACAGGGAGACCCACTCGGTTTTGGTCCCTTTCTCTCTGACTTCTTGGTGTTGACAATCATCTCCGAATGTGGAAGTTGCAGGTTTAGCCATCGTGCTGGTAGCCACAGACAGAGACCTCTCCCACGCAAATCTCCCTTCATAGTGCCGTTAGTGGCCATCGCTTCATTCTGTGGCAGTCCATGACACCTTATGACCGGAGCCCCTACACAATCAGAGCAGGATTCTCCCACTTCCCCCTCCTGCTGCAACCCATGAAGCCCGGGGGGGGGGGGATCCTTATGAACAGCACAGGGGCCAAAGACCAAGGGAAGAATCAGCAAAAATCACACACAGGCACCCTGCTGACCGAAATGCCCTCTATCTGCTGGAAATGGGCTACAGGATTCAAGCCACAGTGACATTATCGGTTAGGGTAGCTGCCCATGAGAGTTTGTATTCTGAAGAAGCCATTGTGTTTCCTAGTCACTGTTAAAAATGATTAGGCAGAGGAAGCTTAAGAAACACAACTGCTTCAACTCCTACAATGTAATCCTCCTAAGCAGGTCTACTCGGAGTCCTACAGAAGTCCACTCAATGGGGCTTACTCCCAGGCAAGTGCTTTTAGGATTACATTGTAAGTTCTCTGTTGCTAAAGATTTTGCAGGCATTCTCATCAGGTCAAGTTCTTTGTGTATAACATTAACGTGGAATCAAGCTGTGGAACTCACAGCTATGGGACGGCATGACGGCCCCCCGCATCAATGGCTTCTCAGCACCTGGGGAATCTCTTGTGTTTCCATGCCTATCAAGAACTCACGAAGAGTGAACAAGAAAATCTAGTAAGTCAAAACTGCTTACTCTATTGTGAAAGCTGACATGAATGAAGTCTCTGTACTGCAGCCCCGTTATTTGCAAGATGGATCCAAAGTGCAGGTTCAGATGGTCACTGCCAACGATATCTGCCTCTACTGGGCTGTTTCTACAACTTAGAGGCGAGAAAGCAGAAACCAAGACTTGAACATTCAAATGAGCGGGATGTCCTCTGAGAAGCAGAAGCACATGCCCCACCCTCCAAAATAAAGTTTACATTTCCTGGCACATCACACCCCAAGAGGCTACAATTCCATGCACATCTCCCCGGGAGAAAGCACCACTGGACTCAGCAGGACTTGCTTCTCAATGAACCTACACAGGATTGTGCTTTACGCTCCTGAACTGCATTCAGCTGATAATTTTCACAGCTGTAAGCAGTGATGGACAAATCTCTCTCCTTTGGACTGGGAACTGGCTTGCCAATTAAAGCATCCTTAGGGAATGCTGTAAACAAAGATCAGCCCCCCCCCCCCTCCCGGAGAGGAATTAAATTGTAAAGCAAAATTCTGGACACATGCAGAATACACATTTCGCTTAAAAGTCTGCTTGGGACAATAACCACAGGCCTAAGCAAATGTACCCAAAGGGCGATTTGTTAAGGTTCCAGGGAACTGTGAGCAAACTCAGAGAAGAGCTGTAACTTGAAGGGGAAAGGGAGCTGTGTACTCCTTGAGCTGGTCAAGCCAAGCTCTGGGAAGCTCACCAACCCAACATGGCCTAACCCTTAAGCTAAAAGATTCTGGTTCTATAGTACAAGCCTATTTGGAAGGTCTTGCAAAAATGACAGCTGAATTTATGGCACATCCAAGCATCACAGATTAGGCACAACCTCACAGAAGGGGCCAGGGCTCAATGGCAAAACACCTGCTTTGGATGCAGGAGGTCTGGGTTCAATTCCCAGCACCACCAGTTCTCAGGCAGCAGGTGTCAGGAAAGACCTTGCTCTGCCCGAAACCACTCAGCATAGGCAATACCAAGCTAGAGAGTCCAATCAGGTACAAAAGCAACTTCATGTATCCCAATCCAGGCAAATACCAGTTTCAGCACCATCATACTGAAGCAGCCACTGCCCTCACAACAAAGATGTCCACAGAAAGTAACGTGCTGACCCAGTTTGGTTAATGTTGCAGGCAACAGGTTCAAGCCAGCATCTCCCTAGTGTCTGAGAGCAGAGGCGTGTCCACGTCTGAGTTCAAAGTTGTAAGTAACACCCCCACTGTGACCTGAAACGGAAACCCTTCTGGCCACAGGAGCAATTGCTATGAGGAGCCCTTCCTTCCCCACAAACCATTTCTCTGCTTCAGTCACTAATCTGGACGTGCCTTTTGGCTGTTAAGATACACTCCCAGAGCCTTGACCTCAATAGGCCAGGCAAGCCTGATCTTGTCAGATCTCGGAAGCTAAGCAGGGTCAACTGTGGTTAGTGCTTGGATGGGAGACTTCCTTGGAATACCAAGTTGGGAGAACCAGAGGCAGGCTTGATTCAGCCACCTCACTGAATATCCTCCAGGCCCCCAGTAGGGGTCAGTCATCAGAGGTCGACATGACTTCCAGATGCAGACACACACGCACTCACAAATACAAAACAAACGAACAAAAAAGATAAGCCCCAGACCAGCCACCTTAAAAAGATAATTACTCTTCTCACCATTAATTGCCATGCTTTTCAAAGACATACAAAGCTAATGGTATATAAATAAGATAAGAAACATTCATATTTAAATTTGATAAATAAGATAAGAAACATTCATATTTAAATTTGATTTCCAGTAGACCAGTCCAGCTACAGTAGGCCCTTCTAAAACACCTTTTGGTGGTTGTTTGTGGTTACACGGATGACTCCACAGTCCCAGGAATGGCTGAGCGGGGCAGCTGAGGACAGGCAGCCTTCCCCTACCTCTGGGTCCCCCTTTTTGACCCCGGTGCTTCTCTGCACGGCCTTGGCTGACCAAGCACGACTGTGAGCAAAGGGCCTGCCTTTCCAGTTCTGAGAAAGGGCCTGGACAGCTGGGAGAACTAGAGAGCCCGACCCTCCACGGCACGCCGCAACTTCCCTCACAGTGAATCTCCAGAAATTTATGGGCAACGTGCAACTTTAAGACCCGGCCGAATTGACTCCTCAGACTGCGCACCAACCTACCAGCCACTTCTAAGCTTGCAGGGCCCCGTAAAAGGGTTCGTCATGATGTAGTACGGCCAGCCGTAAGTGGCTGCGGCAAACTTCATATAGTGCGCAGCATTTTCTATCTCGGCATCCAGATCATCAGCCTGGGGAAGAGCAGAGAGAGAGAGCTCACGGTTTGCGGCGGCCCACTGTTCCCAACGCGACGAAAACAGAGGGAATCGAGACAGCGCTCCTAATGCAGAGGGAGCTGGGGTGGGAGCCTTTTAAAGCCCCTTCTGCTCAGAACACACTCCCTCAACCCAAGCGAGTGGCCAAGCCTTCCAGCCAGGAGAAGCGGCCACACACGGGTGTTCTGCCCAGCAGAGAGAGCAAAACTACTTTGTGCCGTCTACTACAGCAGGTGGGAGGGATCCTCCAAACACTGAGGGCAACGTGGACGTGAGTCTTCCCTGCCCTCCCCCTTCCTCCAGAAAGCGGACGGTGGCGGTTGCGAATCCCTTCTGGACAAGACGTCACAGTAAGGGAAGAGGGATCGGGTGCAACCACCATCACCCCATAGGGCCAGAGTGCTTCCGCCACGCAAGAGCTCCACTGGCGGAAGAAGAAAGCCACAATCCTCAGCTTCCCAGAGGTGTCCCGAAAGTGTCAGACAGGATTGGCAGCAACACCAGCATCGCAGCTCCTGGGCGCTGGGATCTCACAGGCTTCTAACAGCCACACAACGCCTCTGGCCCTGCTAAGAGACCTAGACGTAAGTCTGACAGGGTCCGGGGAGGCTTACCACAGGAGACAGAGGGGACTGAATCAGCACCTCCTCCGGTTCTTTAGGGCAGTTCTCCACCTTGTCTTGCTCCTGGTGGAGCAGAGTCAGACCCGCGGCCACATCACTAGGCACCAGGTCGGTGTCCTGCAGACAGAAAGAGACACATTGTTTCAGAAAGGGAACCGACACAAACGGTCAAGCGTATCTGCAAAACATGCCTGGGAAGGAAACCGAGACACGTGCTCTCATCACTTTTCAGAACCGGGATACCTATTACACTAGAACAAACTCTGAGTCCAGTGGCACCTTTAAGGCCATGAAAGCTTCTACCCAGAATTAAACTTTGTTGGTGTCAAAGGTGCCACTGGACTCAAATTTTGTTCTGTTGTTTCAGACCAACACAGCTACCCATCTGACTCTATCTTAATAGTACATTGTCGCCAGAGAGGCCTTCGTTCAGTTTGAGCCAGCAGGGTGTCGTGGTTAGGAGTGTCAGACTAGGACGGGGGAGACCAGGATTTAAGTCCGCTCAGACTCTGTTCTTCAGACATGAAGCTAATTACTCCGTCTAGTCTACCTCACAGAGAGGATAACAGTGGAGGAGAAGGATAACCACTTATGCCATCTGAATAGCTTGTAGGAACAGCAAGATAAAAATGCGATAAATGGGAGGAAATGGGGGGGGCCTCTAACACTTCCTGGCATTGCCCCATTTACCACACATTCAAGGGTGTTGTGTAGCAGTTTATGTGCAAACCAATGCTCCCTCTAAGCTGAGGAGTCTTGTGAGCAAAAATTCTACTTTGTGAGCTATCGGCATTAAAGTTGCAAGCAAGCCATTTGGCTACTGCATAAATTAGTTTGCTCTGGAGCCATCCTTCCTGAGCTGACACAAAAAATTATAAGCCGGAGGCTAAAAACATGTGAGCTAGCTCACACTAACTCAGCTTAGAGGAAACACTGGTGCAGACTCCCTTACATGAGATTTGTAACTTCCATTTTTCCAGCACATGGATCACGCATACCGGGAAGTATGCACACAAGCTTTGCACCTGGAAGGCTGCATGGAAATTCAAAGCAATCAGGCCATTTCACAATCCGAATACTAGAAGAACAAGCCTTAATTATTTTTTCTTTCACTGCTTCCCAGAACACCAGCGATACACTTGGCATATCAGATGTGGCACTTTCTCTGCCTACTTCCACGGCAGCCAGAAGGCCCTTCCTTCTCAATCAAGGGGGCTGTGGCTCACAGGAAGAGCCTCTTGCTTTGAATGCAAAAGTTCAATCTCTGGCATCTCCAGTGAAAACGACCAGACGATAGGTGATGTGAAAGACCTCTCCCACGAGCCCTGGAGAGCTGCAGCCAGTCAGAGAAGTCAATGCTGACCTTGCTGGATCAATGGTTCAATGTAAGGTAGGTTTCGCGTGCATGCGTACCACCAGCCTTCACACACATGCCTTGTGGTTCAAAAGGAAAAGGATTTGAGGCATTTCATTTTTCCTTTGTTTAAAAACTATACAAGAGCGCTGTTTGATCAGACCAGGCTAGTGTTCCTGGAAGGCCTATAAATAGGGATGGGCACGAACTGGCTCATGAATTCAAGTTTGTGACGAGTTTCGGCTGGTTCGTGAGCTCAGGTTGGGGCAGGTCAACTGGGACAAACATTCAAGCAGTTTGTGGCGATTCATGAATGGATACATTTCCAGACAGTCTCCACTCAATCTAAATGCTTACTAAACTTCAAAACAACAGAGGGGTGGAACTTGGAGGGCATGTAAAGGAGCATCCGGGGGAGGTCCCCTGCAACTTTGATGTCTCTAGTTTGCACAGGATACGTTCTATACACTCCTGAAACAGCACCTGTCATTTCCCCAGAAAGCACTTTCCCGGGGGCACCTTCTTTGGGGGGCTGTAACTCGGACCCCATAAATCCAATCCTCACCAAACTTGGAGGGCAGGTAGAGGAGACCCCCTGCAAGATTGGTGTCTCTAGCATGCCGGGGGAGGGGGGCATTCGACCATGTCACAAACCAAGCCGGTTCATTGGCAGCTAAAAGAACTTCGTGGTCTCTGTGCTTCACACCAATGGGATCTAGTGCGCCTGCGCTGGATCGATCCAGCGCAGGCGCACTAGATCCATTGGTGTGAATGCACAGATGACCACTCGAAGATCACCAGTTACTGGTAAGCAACCTGTTTATTTTCTTTGTGGTCTCAGTGCTTCACACCAATGGATCTACTGCGCCTGCGCTGGATCGATCCAGCGCAGGCGCACTAGATCCCATTGGTGTGAATGCACAGATGACCACTCGAAGATCACCAGTTACTGGTAAGCAATCTGTTTTTCACGACAGTTCATGGTTTGCACACCAGGCACGCCACGAACCGAACTGCATTTTCCTGGTTCGTGCCCATCCCTATCTATAAAAGCAGGCCATGACTAAGGCCACTCCCCTGTGGCTGCCTCCCAGCATGGGTATTCAGAAGTATTTTACCAATGAACAGAGAGTTTCTATTTAGTCCTCAGAACTGACAGACCTGTCTTTGGCAATATGCTTAATGCCCTTTTAAGACTCTCTAAGAGATATCATAACATCCTGTGGCAGTGAGTTAACTTTGTTTTGTCTGCCCATCGACTTCATTGGGTGTCCCTGAGTTCTACTATTATGGAGGAGGAGGTCTCAATCTACTGCCCCCCTTGCATAATTTTATAAATCTCTATAATGTCTCCCTTCTTACCGAGAAGTAGTCACGGAAGAACTCAGCAATGCTGGTAAAAGCAACTCTGTGGTCATCGTTTTGCACAATGCAACAACACAGTAACCGGATCCTTTTCTCCCAGACTCTGGTTGCTGTCTTCTTGACGTTGTAAAACAGCTGGTCTGACTGACTGCTCTCCAAGTTGCGACTGGGACAACTGGAAAGGTACAAGGTCTTTTTCCCACCGAGCGGATCAAAGACGATGACAACTGCCACAACGGTGAAGACAATAATTATCCAGCTGCCAAGCAAAGTGGAAGAGGAGCCATATAAATGCGGGTCAGATTAAAATATCCAATCAGCAAAGAGGGGCAGGACATCCTTACCTGGCAATCACTGTCCCAAGTATGGTATTTATCACAGTCCTGTCACAATCGATGTTGCGGTCTGACACCCAAATGGTTCCTACAATAGCCCAGATCAGCTCTGGCAAGTAGAGGGCCAGGCGCAGGTAGAGCAATTTAGGAAGAGACTTCCTTGGCCCAGGGTTGGAAATTGTTCCTGAAAGGTATAGCTGTAGTGAGTGGAATACCAGTGAAATGAATCCAGAAGTTTTCAGAGCAGCAACATTATTTTACTACTAGGCGCAAGGCCTGTTGCAGGAAGAGAGGCAATGAGCCCTAGAGAGAGGCCGCCGGAGGGCCCCCTCCACGCACTGGCAAAGGAGAGCACGGCGGCTCCCTGGCGGCCAGGCTCGTGCCTCCCCCTGCCACATGCTGGAGGCGGAGGAGCAAGCCAGCCGGCCTTGTCCCTCCTCTGTCGGCGCACTGGAGGTGGCGGCTGCCAAAGGCGGCAGGCCTCGCCCATCCACAGCGCTGTGCACCGGCGGCAGCAGGCCCAGCCAGGCAGGCTGGCTCCTTCCCCGACCTCCCGCCCGCTTGCTCGAGGGCCCAGCATGGCAAGGCAGCCGGCCTCGCCCCTCTCCCCACCGGCCACCCGAGCAAGCGGCGCATGTAGTGGTGGAGCGGCAGCAAGCAAGGGATGGCTGCTCGCCGCCTGTTCCAGCCGTGCGCGCGCCAAGCCAGCTAGCCTCGTCCATCCCCCCCCCCCCCCCGCCCACCGCCCCCCCGGTCCACCCCATAGGCCAGTGGCCACTCCAAATCCCTTTTATTATAAGGAGAGATAGCGATTAACAGAAGGGCATGACTTCTGTCATTCTCTAAAGCCACTATTAAGGTCTCCCACAGACGAGGCAGAGCTTTCTGTGCCAGGGGACTCCCCAGGTACGCCGTAATATAAGATACAATTAACCAAAAGGAAAAAAATACACACACACCCTAGTGAGTACTGTAAACTTGTAGGGAACAGAGAAAGGTGTGTGCGTATAGAATCCAAATACTAACAATGTATTTGAGAGTCAACTGACTCTAAACTGGGAGAACTGGGTTTGATTCCCCACTCCTTCACATGCAGCTACTGGTCTGACCTTGGGTCAGTTACAAGTTCTTTCAGAGCTGTTCTCTCACAAGCAGTTCTCAAAAGAGCTCTCTCAGCCCCACCTACCTCACAGAGTGTTTGTTGGCAGGAGGGGAAGGGAAAGTAGGTTGTAAGGTGCTCTGAGACTCCTTTGGGTAGTGAAGGGTGGGATATAAATCCAATCTCCTCTTCTCTTCTATTTTAAGAGCATAAGAGCCCTGCTAGATCAGACCAGTGTTCCATCTTGTCCAGCATCTTGTCTCACAGAGGCCAACCAGTTCCTCTGGAGGCATAGGGGCTGAGGCCTTCCCCTGATGTTGCCTCCTGGCTCTGGGATTCAGAGATTTAGTGCCTCTGAATGTGGACGTTTCCCCTCAGCCACCATGGCTAGTAGTCATTGATAGACTTCTCCATGAATCTATCTAATCCCCTTTTGAAGCCATTTCTTCCTGCGGCCATCACTGCATCCTCTGGCAGTGAATGTGTCACTCTCTGTGTAAAGTAGTACTATCCTTTTGTCTGTCCTGAATCTACTGCCCATCAGCTAGTCTTTTGTTCTGGTCTTCAGTTCTAGTCTTTTATTTTGTTCCCCTTCAAGCTATAACGGACTGTTTATAGCACCAATTTTTTGTGTTAATACCAGTGCACACAGCATTATGCAATATTTGTACAAATGCCAAAAGAGCCACTGTATTCAGTCTAAAGACTAACACGTTTATCACAACCTAAGCCCTTTTTTTTTGTGAGCCAGAACCCACTTCCATCAGAGGCACGAAGCATTGACATCGGCGGGCTTAGAAAGGTGAAACTCTGCTTAGGACCTCACTGCAGCTTTAGTCTGGTGCTGGGAAGTGCCGTCAAGGTGATGCCGATTTATGGTGACCCCATAGGAGGCCTTCAAGGCAAGAGACGTTCAGAGGTGGTTGGCCATTGCCTGCCTCTGCGTAGCAACCCTGGACTTCCCCGGGGGTCTCCCATCCAATGTTCCCTCTCATCGTTGGAGTCTTGTGAGCAAAAATTCCACTTTGCGAGCTGCTGGCATTAAAGTTGTGAGCGAGCGATTTGGCTACTGCATAAATTAGTCTGCTCTGGAGCCCCATCCTTCCTGAGCGGAGGCAAAAATCTGTGAGCCGGAGGCTAAAAAACTGTGAGCTAGTTCACACTGACTCGGGCTTACCTTGCATGCTGATATAAACGATGGCAGATAAAGTGCAGATGATGGCTGCCAGGAGAATGAGGAGGACCAGGATGTAACTGTGCAACAGCCTCCCACCAGGACAGTCCAGCTGCGCTTTGTGCATCGAATACAAAACCAGAATGCCAATCCACCTAGGGGGAGAAAAGTACGGGAGGATTAAAAAGCAAAAAAATACAAAGGCATCAGCTAGGCAGGAACATTCTGCCTCCCTGCAGAGTCACATCTTTATTTAAATCACAATGGTGAATACAAACACACATATACACACACACGCAGAGAGAGAGAGAGAGAGAGAGAGAGAGAGAGAGATCTAGTCCATTTGATCAGAGTCGCTGAAGAAGCCCACTGGAGTCTATGGTAGTTTTTGTGCGGCAGAGGCAGAAATAAGTCACGGCAGGTCCTTAACCTCAGCACCTGCAATTCAAAACAGGGCCATACATATTTAAACCAATAAAGTAATCTTTTCTCTCTTCCCCAGTCAGTATCAGTGAAAGCCATCTCTTAAAGAGCAAAGAGTAACACCTAATTAACATTACACAACCATTTAGCTCTTCCGGAAACGAGGCAGTTTATGGAGATCGGAGCTTGTCATCACACGGGCTTGCCTAGCATAGCTCATACTTCTGGGTCATGAAATGTCAACATGTGTTCCAAACCAGGGGTTATAAACCATCCTACCTTTGTGGCTTCTATCTTGCTTGTTCAGGGGATGCTTGCACTGGATCCTCCCCTCCAGATCTCTGTCTTAATATTGTTTTTCAGTGGCATTACTTATTCTTGAAACCTACAGCATTGTTTCAACTGGGAGCCATGACAGCTAATCTGCATTTAAACTGGGTAGCCGTGTTGGTCTGAAGCATGGGAGTCGAACTCATTTGTTATGAGGGCCAGATCTGACATAAATGAGACCTTGTTGGGCCGGGCCATGTGTGTCATAAAATGTAATGGCAGGAGGCGGAGATATAAACTTTATAAAGGACACACAAAGATTTTTTAAACTTAAAATAAAAGCATGCTTAAAACATTCGGTCTGTAAGCTGCAAACCTACTTTTGATTTATTGACATCCACCACAGAAATCTCATGCTCAGAGTTCTGAGTCTAGAACCCAGGTTAAAACAGGAAATGAACATAAGAGCATAAGAGACGCCAATGTTGGATCAGGCCAAAGGCCCATCCAGTCCAACACTCTGTGTCACACAGTGGCCAGAAATACCAGTGCCATCAGGAGGTCCAGCAGTGGGGCCAGGACATTAGAAGCCCTCCCACTGTTGACCCCCCCAAGCAACAAGAAGACAGAGCATCACTTGCCCCAGAGCCCCTAGCTATACCTTGTGGCTAATAGCCACTGATGGACCTCTGCTCCATATGCTTATCTAATTCCCTTTTGAAGCCATCCATGCTTGTAGCACCCACCACTTCCTGTGGCAGTGAATTCCAAGTGTTAATCACTCTTTGGGTGAAGAAAGAGCATCACTTGGCCCAGAGCCCCTGTCTATACCTTGTGGCTAATAGCCACTGATGGACCTCTACTCCATATGCTTATCTAATTCCCTTTTGAAGCCGTCCATGCTTGTAGCTGCCACCACCTCCTGTGGCAGTGAATTCCATGTGTTAATCACTCTTTGGGTTAAGAAGTACTTCCTTTTATCTGTTCTAACCCGACCACTCAGCAATTTCATTGAGTGCCCATGAGTTCTTGTATTGTGAGAAAGGGAGAAAAGTACTTCTTTCTCTACCTGCTCTATCCCATGCATAATCTTATAAACCTCAATCATGTCTCCCCTCAGTCGTCGTTTCTCCAAGCTAAAGAGCCCTAAGCGCCTTAACCTTTCCTCATAGGGAAAGTGTTCCAACCCTTTTATCATTCGAGTTGCCCTTTTCTGCACTTTTTCTAAAGCTCTAATATCCTTTTTAAGGTGTGGTGACCAGAACTCCACACAGTATTCCAAATGAGGTCGCACCATTGATTTATATGTCTCGACATTGTCAGTGAGTTATCTACTACAACTCCAAGATCTCTCTCTTGATCACTCTCTGCCAGTTCAGACCCCATCAATGTGTATTTATATTTAGGATTTTTGG